AATTTCCCTAGTGCCAGGTTTCTTGTTAAGCCCATAATGGCTCCCCCTATTAAGGTATCTATTTCCTTGCTTTCCTTCTGTGTTCTTCCCCCATCTTGACCTTCCTGATCCCTCATGCTCTCCTCCCTTCTCCTCTCCTTCCCTCCCCTTTCGCCTACCTCTCTCACCCCCCACCCCATGCTCCCACTTTACTCAGGAGATCTTGTTCCTTTACTCTTCTCGGGGATCCAGGTATGTCTCTCTTTGGGTCCTCCTTGTTTTCTGGCTTCTCTGGGGTTGTGGAAGAGACATTAGGTAATATGGTAACAAGCACATTGATAATAAAAAGAAAAAGTGGACTTGTATCCTCTGTCACTCTCCACCTTATTTTTTTAAGGCAGAGTCTCTCAGTGGGATTGTAGTTAGTTTTATTTTGGCTAGGATAGCAGCCAGCAAACCTCCATGATGCCCCCCCCACCACCAACCTCCTCAGTGCTTGGACTATCGGCATTCACAAGAACATACCAGCTTGTTTGATGGGTGCTGAGATCCACACCCTAATCCCCTCATACTTTTGCAGAAAGCATTCTTAATGATTGAACAGCCTCTGTAGTCCTGATCTGTTATTTTAAATAAACATATTATAATAAAAATATAATTCCATTTGACATAGTAGAAACACTCTTTAAGGACTTCTCCTTACTAGTCATGTGGGTGACATGGAACACATTCTGATATTTATTTACCTCTACTGTAATGTAAAATATAAGGCCAGTGAAATAGCTCAGTGGATAATGGTACTTACTATAAAGCCTGGGAATCTGTTTGATCCCAGAACCCACATGGTGGAAGAAGAGAATTTCCACATGCTGTTCTCTGATATTTTCATGTGTATTATGGTTCATGTGCTCATGAACACCCCCAATCAATCAATAAACGTAGTAAATCTGAGTAACGTAGTAATACTGAGAATGCAGTTTGGTAGCTCAGTGGTATAGTGCTTGCTTCGTAAGTATGAGGCCCTAAATTCAATTCCCTGTGACATAAAATATTAAATAATACTAATCATTATTTTAAAAATATTGAGTTTAATTAATACTCAGAGAGAGAGAGAGGGGGGAGAGAGAGAAAGAAGCATACCACTTCATGTGTACCTCTGAAATATAATACTATTTTATGATTATTGGCAGATTTACTTCACTATATCTCAACTTTTTAATGTTTATGTTGTGAATCTATTAGAATCTAGCTGTTTAAAAAATGGACTGTCCATTAGCTAGTGAGTATTTTATGAGAATGCCTACCTAGTTGTAAAGTAAGAAAAGTAAAAAGAAAAAAGTTTGTTTTAGAAAGAACAGGACTGCCATTAATTGCAGAAGTTTATCTACATAGAAACCAAGGGAGTACACAGGCACATGTTTCAAGAGGTCAGCTACATCATTGCAAACCATATCTATAAACAACAGTCAGCAAAAAATGTGAATAAAGACTCACATTGACTTCAGTAACTGAATGCCAGATACATAAAAAAAGAAGTAGTCAGAGGCTGTGGACCTTGAAATGTACCGAGAGTTTATAGGTTCTCAGGGAGTCTTTGGTTAAGAAGAGCAGGAGTCAGTCCCTGGAGAGGCCCTCTGGACTGTGAACCAAGGTAAGAGAATTCCTTAAGAGGGGGTGGCAAAGAACCATCACCCTATTTGTTTCTGAAGGTTGGGGCAGGGCTTTCGGAGAAAGGCTTTTCTGTCAATAAACTCCGTAGTCCGGTGGAAAGTGTTTCAGGGAAATAGAAGACCTTGTGAAGTCAAGGAACATAGGCCATAATTAGAGGAAATTCAATGCTTTGAGCCTCCAACCTGAATGATGAAAAAAAAAAAAAAAAAAAAAACCACCCAACCACCCAAACCTATACAGCTATTTCTGAATCTCATCTAGTATTTTCAAACAAGGCTGCCTTTTGTCTCATATTGGTGATCTTAGTGTAGTGAAGGGATTTGTTTGAAGGATACGTCCTCCTGCAGAGGAAGAGATAAACAGGTACCCAGAATTGAGGACACAGAACTAAGAATAAAGGCTATTTTTTAAAAAATGGTCTTTATGCTTATTAATAATTACATATTAATGAAGGCCTCCTCTAAAGAGATAGCCAATAGTTTTGATTTGTAAAAATAGGATTTTAAGACAATTAGAATACAAAATAATGTGATTCTTTTTGTGCTTTCATATTTTATGTTGAAGGAATACTCCTTTGCTGTACTTCTCTGATTCTATGCTTCGGCCTTCGGTATTTCCTTTTGCACAAGCTTCTCTCCATCTTGTGTTCTAGGACACCACACCCTCTTTCTTAAGACCTATTTTCCCTTCTCTCTTGTTCCATAGTCTATCCTGTCTCAAGTGACAACAGCTGTGATGTGAACTGTCATGTTTTACAGCTTCCGGTAACAGCAAGTGGATGTGACGTATACTGACTTCCGCTTGTATACTGACTTCCGCTTTCTCAGAAGACGGTGAAGAGCTGAAGGACTGTGCGCGAAGCAGCTCTTCGGCGGCCTGAGGAATTGCGGTCCCCGTGGTCCCTGAAGGTGAGGATATAGGAACAGTTAGAGGTGGATATAAACCTTTCCACACAAATAGAATGGCCTTCTCTGCACCTCACCACGACTTTAGTGCCAGTCCCGGTGGGGGAAGGCCTGATGTAGTGATCCATCCGGTTTATACCGGTTTCCATTTTGGAATCTGAGAGGTGGCTTTTCTGCCAGATTTTGACCCCATCCATAGAATATCCAGACAATGTTTGGCAGCCATCAGAGTGAGGAAACCTATTGTAGGATCTAGGGACTTTTCCTGGACAGAATACAGCTTCTCGAAACCCAGGCTGTGGTGAGCCCTCAGAAACTGCTGCGTCATGGCCCTCACCCACTAGACTTCCATGTCGGTGTCTCATGGAAGATCCTTATAGGGCACGTACCAGTCCAAACCAAATGGGCTCCCACTGCTGAAATGGGGAAGTAGATGCCAGTTCCTGTTTCCAGCAAGAAGCTTTTCCTCAAGTAACAACTTCGTGCAAATGCAAAATTAGTTTACCCAAGGGCGTTTTCCTGGATAGCCAAACCACACTTAAGGGCAGGCTGGGTGGAGCCCTGCAGTAGTAGACCGCCAACACAAAACAAACTCAGAGGTTTTTATTGTTGGAAGTTTATTTTCCTCATAATGTTTTATTTGGAACCCCCACCCGGTCCCACTTCAGGCTTTGGTCCCATTTCAGGCTTCGGTCCCACTGCCTGTCTGTCCCCTTAGCTCCTAGTCATTCTTCACCCCCCCTCCCCGGCTTCCAGCCCCTCCAGCTCCCAAGCCCCAAATCCCATTCCCTTCCCCCATCTGCTCCCCCTTCCCCCTCTCTCTCCTCTCACTCCATACACCCCATCCCCCTCCCTCATCGCCACCCCCTCCACTCCCACCCCATCCACCTCACCCTAGTCCTGCTCCCAGTCCTCCCCATCCTGCCAATACATCCTCTCCCACCCCTGTGCCCTTCCCTCACTAGTCCTTTGTTTGCCGATTTTTAGGTTTTTAGGGTTTTTTTTTTTTTCCCCAAAATTAGGTTTCTCTGTGTACCCCTGGCTATCCTAGAACTCTATCTGTAGAACAACCTGGCCTTGAACTCAGTGATCTGTCTCTGCCTCCCAAGTGCTGAGATTAAAAGCTTATGCCACTGGCTAGATTTTGAAATTTTATGGCGCGCGCGCGTGTGTGTGTGTGTGTGTGTGTGTGTGTGTGTGTGTGTGTGTGTGTGTCTTTGATTTGGGGGTGGATGAGCATATAGGTGTTGCTGCATATGTTGTGTGCATGCATGCATGCCTGCATATCTATATGTTTCTTTTTGTTTGTTCATTTTGTTTTATCCTAGTTTGCTTTATTTACCTGTTTTCTTAAAAGTGAGGAGAAGCATGCTTGGAATTAAAAAGTAGGATCTAGGAAGAGACAAGGGAGGGGAAACCATGATCATAATATAGTGTATGAAAATAACTATTTTCAATAAAAATAGAAAATTATTTTTATTCTCTTAGCCCAACAAGGCCCCAGACAGACATGTTTATATGTGGCTCCCTTCATTTCCAGGTGGTCCAGTATTTTACAATGTTGGTGGGGTTGTTTATATGTTGGCATTTTGTTTTAGGTCTGTGTTATTTTTTTTTCCCTTGGGTGAAATCTGAGATGGTGAAATTCAGGTTGCCAGAGGCGATAGCTCCAAGGGAGGACTAATGGACCTCCAATTCAAGTACATAGTAGATTTTGCTGTCACTGCCAAGGTCTAAAGGATTCTGAGCAGGAGTGGCTATATGAGTCACCTGTTTAGTTTGTCTTGTTGGTCTTAGGGAGGGGAAGGCATTGTCCTAACTGAGCAGAATTGGCTGTTTCTGGTAAACCAAGGAATGAAACAAGTTCTGTTAGCAGTTAGTGTGTGGATCCTAAATGAAGATGGAAGCAATCCCTGTGTCCTTAGAGATTTGGTGATCCTGCCCTGAGAGACCCTACTTTCTAGCATACTGAATTGTTGTGCCAGTATCCCCTCCTGTAGTGTCAAGGGACTAGAGTCAATTTATCAGACAGAGGTGTCTCAGGTCTTGCCAGAGAATGGAAAGAGGTCCTCTTTCACAGAAACAAATTAACCTAGGCCCTAATAACTTGCTATTAAGAGCCTATCCATTCCATAACTGTGTGGACCTATCAAAGTCTACTTCTATGCAGCAGTTAGCCTTAGGAATAGGACCCAAGTCTGCTTGTGGTCTATAACATGCACCCCTCCCCTGAATTGCTTATACAGAGGCTCCAGGAACAAGGGGCATAATTGTTGAACAGAGTCATGTCCAAAGACTCTAGATCAGAAGAGAGTTCATAGGAGGCAGGCCCATGAAATGCAAGACAACCACCTAAAATAAATATTGAAAAAGCCTTTGCCACTGGTGACAGGTTACAATACCCTCACATTTTTGTCTCACCTTCAGGCCATTCTCCATCAACCTTATCCTGCCAGTTACCTGCAGAACAAATTATAATGTCTCACAAGCAGCAGCATGTGCAAGGCCTTGAGGCCCTAGAAGAGAATGAGGGCCAGCTCTGGGAGGAGATTCCTGAGGCTAAGGATGTGGGCACCTCAGAGGAGGTACCTGCTGCTGGGGTTTCCCAGGAAACCTGTTCATCCTCTGCTCCCATCCAAGCCACTCTACCAAACAAAGCAAATGAAGGTTCTGGTGGTGGAGCAGAGGGAGTTCAAAGCACCTCAAAGGCCTACCTATACTCCAAGTTCTTACTCAACAGCAGTGTACAGAAGAAGGTGACAGATTTGGTAAAGTTTCTGAGTGTCAAGTATACAACAAATAAGCTTGTTACAGAAGAAGAAATTTTGAAGAATGTTGTCCAAGAGTATAAGGACTACTATGCATTGATCTTTAAGCATGCCTGTGAATGCATGGAAGTGGTTTTTGGTATTGAAGTAAAGGAAGTGGATGCTTTCCACCACTCTTACGAGCTCCTTAAAATACTTGACCTCACCTATGATGGGCGGCTGAGCGATGAAGAGGGCATTCCCAAGACAGGCCTCCTGGTGCTTATCCTTGGTGTCATCTTCATGGAGGGCAACCGTGCCCCAGAGAAGAAGATCTGGGAGGTGCTGAATATGGTTGGTGTATATCCTGACCAGCATGATTTCATCTGCGGGAATCCCAGAAAGTTCATCACTGAAGATTTGGTTTTAGAGAAGTACCTGGAATATCAGCTTGTACCTGGCAGTGATCCTCCATGCTATGAGTTCCTGTGGGGCCCAAGGGCCCATGCTGAAACCAGCAAGATGAAAGTCCTGCAGTTTTTCTCCAAGGTTGCTGGGAGTAACCCCACTTCCTTCACAGCTCTATATAAGGAAGCTCTGAAAGATGAAGAGGAAAGAGCCCGGGCTGTACTTGCACCCATCACCAATCCTTCTGCCCTGGACTATTCAGGATCTGGGGACAAGCCCAGCAGCTTCTCCCGTCCTGAGTAAATTCAGGCTGGTTCTTCACACTGGTTAAGGGTAGCAGTTGAATCTTCAAGCAGAAGAGACTTTGAGTTCTTTCTCCTTTTTGTACTGTTTCAGATATCCCTCTATTAGGGTTTCTTAGTTTCAGATGGTTTTTAGTTTCAGAGGCTGGAGTCATTAACTGTATTGCTCACACATTTGTTGCTCTTTGTTTCAGAATAAGAATTTGGCTGTTTTGAAAATCCAGTTGACATTTTACAGCATTGAGATCTAGAGAAAGATCAAATAGCATTGCATCTGAATTTTCCTTAGACATGTGAAAGATTCCGTTAGTAAAAAGCAATCAGTTAAGTGCAAGAAAGTTGTTAAGAAATGGTTAATAGTAGTATATCTGTGATCTTTTGGTTGGCTTTGTGAAACTAAAGATAATGCACCTTGCTTACTTGATTTAATAAAGAATGCATGAGAAAACTAATGCTTAATAAAAAAAAAGTACACTGCCTCATTTTCCTAGCAATCAGTGTCTGTTCTTTGGAAGGCATTTTGTTATCAATGGAAATTCAACCATCAGTGAAGAAAATTATGAAATAGTGTGAAAAACAAAGAATTAAGTTAAAACACTAAGGCAGTGGCATTTTGAATGATGCCATCAAGTATAAATGCTCTGAGCCAGGGCATTCTGGGGCTTTGGGAAACCACAAATCCTTCTGTGGGTGCTTAACCTTCTGTTAAAGTAGATGGTGATGGGACCCACATTCTCAGACATCGTGTCCTATACATGAGAGAAAAACTTAGAATGGAAAAGATGCTCAGAGAACTTCTTTTTGAACATGTCTAAATCAAGAAATGATTCTCCACTAGGGGTAGGAGCAGTTATAGAAGGTGACTTGAACTCTTGTCCAGTGCAATTGAGTAAGTATTGTGTACAAAGAACTGCAAGCATTTTTGGGAAATCTGATGATACCGCCTTCATGTGGTGGATAGAATTATTTAGGTTGTAGTCTTTCCCCTGGTCTAAGAGAACCCACTCACTGTAAGGTCATTCATTCCTTTTATTTTTTAACTTCTGTTTTATTTATTTCCATCTTTTACATCATGCATCTCAATCCCATTCATTTCCCATCCGTTTGTATTCAACCCCTGCCATTGCAACACACCCCCAAAATAAAATTTAAGAAAAGGAAAAGTGGAAGCTGTAGTATGACTTGTGAGTATTCCTAGCAAAGTTAATGGTCTGGTTCTAGGCCTCTGGCTTCTGCTACACTATCAACGCTGGGCCCTCACTGGGACTCCTCTTGGATATCCTGTTGTTGCCCTGTGTCGTGGAGATCCTGTAGCTTTGAGTCTGCAGGACTGTCCCCTTCCAGTGCTCTAACAGGTCACAGATGGGGTAGATATTGGGGTTGGCCAACTAACTGCTGGTTCTGGGCATGGGTAGTGGCAGGGTTGGTCAGCCTGCCAGCTCTCCCCTGTCTTCATCACCAGGGTGAGCAGCTTTCTAGCATTGCCCTTGCTGGTTCACCCCTTGCAGAGATGAACAAGGGGCAGGGCCATTTCTTCTTCCCATCCTCAGGGTAGGCTCTCCCACACTACACCTTGAGGGCCATCCCTACTGTGTTATCCAGGTGAGGTGTAGGGGCTACTCAAGTGCTGCAGCTCTCCTGCTTTTGGACGTCAGGGCCAGCTCTCCCACCTAACCACAGGTGGCGGGATTGTAGGTTTCATCATATAGCAGATGAGGAAGGAGCAAGGTCAGTCTCCCCTGCTTATGTTCTCAGGGCAGTTTGCCCACAACCCTGTTAATAGATTCAGCTCTATCGTGCTGCCCAGACAAGGCTCAAGGTTCACTTTCAGAAGTGCTGCAATTGGTAAGGGGGAGGGCCACCTCCGTCACCCCCCACAAGTGGCAGAAGCAAGTAGGGGAGGGCATCTTTGCCTCATCTCACCACCACATGTCAGGTGAGGGGGATGTGACCAGTTATCAAACTCTTGCACACTAAGGGCCGGCTCACCTAAACTTCTGCCAACCAGGTCAGCTCTACTGTGCTGCCCAGGCAAGGAGCAGGGCTCACTCTCCTGGGTGCTGCAGCTGGTAAGGGGGAGGCTCAGCTCCCTTGTGTGTTGCACTAGGTGAGAGGCAAGGGGTGAGGGGCACCTCCTCCACACACAGACACACACTGTTGCATGACTGATGAGTAGTGTGGATATGGCTGGGCAGAGGGGAATTTAAGGCAGGAGGAGTCAGGAGCACACGTCAGTCTAAGTAGCAATGCAGTCTGAGGCAGTAGTCTGAAGACTACAATTGCATGAGGTCATTGACTAATACAATCTGTTTGTCTGCAGAGTCTGATGCTGCAACATTTTCACAAGTATTAAACTCTCTGCACTGAATGTCAGGAGAGCATCTGTCTGCATTTAAGGAATAAAACATTTTACTAAATCACTGTCCAATAAAAATGGAGGGGTGACACAGGGAGGAGCGGGGGCTCAGTGGATAGAGGCACTAGGTACCAAACCTGTTGACCTGAGTTTGATCCCTGGGCCTAATGTTGTGGAGGGAGAAAACTGACTCCCACGGGGTGTGTTCTGGTATCTGCATGCATGCTTTAGTGTGTGTGTGTGTCTGTATACTATGTTGTAAACAAACAAAAAAGATTTGGGGCCTGGAGAGATTCTTAGTGGTTGATGCTAATTACTTCTAGTAAAAATATTATATGATTTGATGGAAGCAGATGCCATGATTAGTTTCTGTATTTTTAACACTGAGACCTTATCTGTTATGTGACTTTTGAGTTCAGAAAAAAATATAGCAAAAATAATTATTTCATTTATTTAACTATTCAAAGGCAACAAAACATCAAGTGATTTAATGAGCAAATATTGACTGCACGCTATGCTACAAGTACTATGCAGACATTGTGGCTACCCAGCAAGACACAGCTTGATATGTACACCCATGGAGCTCATAGTTAAATGGAGTACATGACCAGGTAAAGTCTCAGTGAAAGCTCAGAAACTGAAAGCATTCTTAGGAGGTATATGGAAGCAGCATGGCTTGAGATAAGGAGATAGTGAATTATTAAACTCATTTCTGCACAACTTTAGATATGAATTTTAACTAACTATGTAACCATGTGTATACATTTGTAACGAGTACGGTTTTTCCACCTGCTGCTGCCTGGTCTTGTCCCACCACTGCACCAGCCCCAAATAACACACAGAGACTCTGTATTTCATATAATTCTGTTGGCTCATTACTAGTTTCTTATCGGCTAGCTCTGTCTTAAGTACTAACCCATTTCTGCTGATCTATGTATTTCTCTTACCGGGGAGCTGGCCGGCATACTGCTTTCTCCAGACTCTCCATCTTGACCCTCCTTACCACTTTCTCTTTCCTCCTTGTCTCCTAGTCCCTCCTATCTAGCTTTCCTATTGGCCAACAGTGCTTTATTCATTAAACCAGTATGAGAAACATATTTGCAGAATCGCATCTCCCATCATCTCCTCTTTTCTGTGTAAATAAAAAGAAGGGTTTTAACCTTAACATAGCAAAATACATAACACAACAGTTATCAAATAAGAATCACAGTTAACAATATTTAGTCCATTAACATTTAGCAAGATTTAAGAAAATATTCCATCATCTATTCTATCTTTGTGTCTAAAGTCTAAGAAACATCTTTAATACTAACTAAGGAAAACTATAACCATAACTATCTGTCTTCAACTCCCTCAAAGACCACAGAAGGATATTATATAAACTTTAAAAATGACAGAGCCAACTAATTGCCTGGTCACCCGAAGTTCTTTTGTAATCTTCCATCTTCAGCCCATAGGCCATAGTGTAGCTGGCAGACTCTTCAGCAAAGCAGGAAACTTTAAACTGTCTTCTTGTATTGGCAGTTTGTCACTCACTTTTCTCTGTGTCCTGCAGAATGGCTGGCAGACTCTTCCATAAAACAGGAACTCTGTAGCAGTGTCCATCTTTTATTAGTCACTTTCCTGTGGATCATGCATGTCCAGTTTACAGCACAAAGTCAAACAGTCCAGACAAGGGCAGTATCTTGTCCAAATGGCTAGTCTTGCTATATTGAAAGCAATCTTCATAACACGTTTCTTCTATATCCATCTTCCATCTTCCTTTCTGGTGCAGGTGGCATTGCCAGGAGCAATTATGTCTCACTGTCAAGAAAAACCCTAAACTATTTTAAATGCCATATTCTGTAGGTCTTGGAAGGTTTGAAGAATTCCTATCTATCAAAATACATCTCTGCATATCTAGAAAACCTAACTCTCTAAGTTTTGACTATCAATGGTAACTATCGATAAGCTGTACTAAATTATACATTATATTTCTAAATGAGCTATATAAACACAATACCTAAACAAGAGGAGAAATATACATATCACAAAATTGACCTTAAATTGTATCAATAAATGAAAATACATTCCAAAACAAAGTATTCATATCTATACCATAATCCCCTTTTTACCTTTAAAAAGATATTGGTTGTGGTCATTAACCATTTATAACCAAGTCCATTTAAGTGAAAACAAACATTTATAAACAATATTTGGGAATTTGGGCATCATTCTTTCCAAACTGCTTCCTGCTGATGTGGGGCGCTGTCATGGGGGATCCTAAGAAGATGGCTGTAGTCTGCAAGGCTGCCTTGTCCAAGGTGTTTTGAATGTTGGATCACCAGGAATGCTGTTTCAGGGGGTCTGGCTTGCTCAAACCACATTAGTCTGGAAGGAATTCACAGCTTTTTATTTTCTGTGGAAACAAAAATAGAAATCCTTTTCCCCAGTAACTTGTCCTTGAACTTAAATGTTGGAGTCAAATATATTTAACTCCAAATGTTGGAGTTAAAATATATAAATTGAATTATTCCAGCAGCATTTCCTTCAACAGTTGTTTCCTCTGCAGTCAAACAATACAAAGACAATATAATACTGCACAGTATCCAGATTCTCTCTGAGCTTTCCATCTTTAAGTGGCTTTATTATTACTCTCTTTCTTC